GCGCGCGGTTGTCAAAGCGCAGCGCCGCTAGCCAGCGCGGCGTGGGCTCCATGGCAGCAGCCCAGGCGGACCAGAGCGCGGGCGACGGAAGCGCGAGGCCGACGGACTGCAGCCGGGTCCCGGCAGCAGCGAGCGAAGCCCCGAACGCGGCCCTGAGTGAGGCCATTCGCCTCGCCACCGGAAGCTCGCTCGCCACGACCGGAAGTTTTTCATCGCCCAATTCTGGGTTGGCGGGGGGCACGCCCAGAAGCGTGACTCTGATTGGTTCTCTCTCTTTTGTCCACTTCCGGGCTTCGATAAGTCGCTGAGAGTGGGCCGGAGGCGCTCTCTAGCCTCTGACATCAGTGTACCTGACCAGTAGAGCTCCGAAGCTTCTACCGTGGTGACATGTGAAAGCCTGGAATACTCCAAGTGGACTTACAGGCTGAGTGACGTCCTAAAAGACCACCAGAGGCTCCTCTAACTGCTGGGAAGCCAAGGTCATCCCCAACACCACTGGGTGCTTTGGGTTTGGGCGGTTCTGTCCATCACACGCATAAAACCAGAAATTGAATCTTTGAGCTGCTTTATTCAGAGAGCCAACAATCTCGGACAGTAGTTTAACATCCTAAAGATGTAGCTTTCATCTCGTCTTTAGCCAGCAGCTTATGTATGTACATACAAAGGCAGTCAGTCATTCCAAACTTGAGTCTTGCCCCTCTGCTCAGGATGTCAATGTTTCAGATTTATGATGTTGGTGCTTTCCTCTCCATCATCCTCTCTCTGTGAGGAGGAGGAGGGGCTGCAAGCAAGGGCCCGAGTCTTTAGTTTGTTCTGAGTCAGATGTTTGGATAATGTCCCTGCTTAATTCAGAGCACATACCAATGTAGATTCCTTTCTATAATAAACGTATTCTTATAATGTAGACTATGCAGTGCCCTTCTGTTAGGATATTTTTTCTCATTTGTTTTGACCGGAAAAGGGCCAGAAATCTTGTCAGTGTTCCTGTGGGATCTGTGGGAGATGGCCACCTAAGACTTACTATAGGGATAATTTGAGTCAACAATTATATACTAGGGCAAGGCTGAAGAGAGATTGGGTATTGGGTCACGGCAGGAGTCTGAACTTACCACATACAGAAATTCTCTCTGAAGTGATCACATTTCCTTTTCTCCCCATTTTGTGTCTGTCAACTGCAATCTAGGTGGTATGAACCTTGATGATGGGAGGTAGACAGAATCCAGTGCTCAGGGAAACCTATTAGCCTTACACAGAAGACTTTGAGCATGGACAAATGCACGCACTCCTTTCTGGCTGTGTTCCTTCATTTCAGCCACTGAGAATTCACATTTGGAACTTTTCTTGGGGCCACAGTGGGTTTCTAAAACTGCAATGAACCTAGCTCTGCTCCTGGAGCTGTGCGATTACACTAGTGAATTTCCTTCCCTTCTACACTGGAGGCAGGATGCTGTGTATGCAGACTTTTTTCTGTGACAATAGACTTTAGCACCTCAGCCCTGGCCAGAGGATCTGTGTTGTTGCTGCTGCCACTAACATGGACTTCACTGGCTACCTTTGGGGTCTACCTTGTTCTAGTCAAGAAATGATGTATCCCCTCTCCCACATTTGCGAGGCAGTCCTGAAGCGTGAACCAGAGGGTATACAGGTGCTGAATACATGCACTTGGCTGGCACACAGATAACCTTGCTAGGCACTAGGGAGCACCAGGGGCCAGCCTGTATACTTTGCTGAGGTGGATAGTATGTACTCTGGGATGCAGGAGTACCTCTAAGCATCCTGCAGACCTGGGGGCAGATGACAAAAGAGGAAGCCAGTCCCCATCACCTGAGTCCCATTTCCATACACTTCACAAAACGGGAACTTCCAAAATTAAAATTTATTTCTCTTTCTAGGGAATGAATCCACAAGTGTGAGACAGAAGTACACAGCCCAACCAGCCCTGTATCCCCTGCCCAGCTCAGTGTTTCATATTATTTGGCAGTCAGCACAAGGATAATCAAAGTGGTCTTGGTCTTGCTAGGCTGTGCAGTATGCCAGGAGCCACACCTGTATACACGAATGGCTGGGTGTGCACAAGACAACCATGGTCCTAGGTTTGTGGCCCATAGAGGGTCCACTACTGTCCACAGTGCAGTTTGGGCGTCCCACCTAATGCACAGGAATTAGGTCAAGCCCCTCCTAGCACCAAGGGCAGCCAGAGAAGCAGGCTGATACCTGAGGCAGCCCCATGCCACACTGAGCTGTACTGGAGTCTAGCAGAGGCTGACCTGGACACCCAAGCTGACTCTCTGACATACACTGCCCACTTGGGGCACACAAATACAAATAAAAAGACTTCTTTGTCCTCGCTGGATTTAAGGCTTGTATTTCCTGATATTTGCTTCAGTTTGTTTTTTTCTTTGACGTCAAAATTACCTGAGTAAAAACTTTTTTGATATTAAAAAACAAAAACCAAACCACAGACTCTCTGCAGGCAGAGATGCAGCTGGCAATGCCACATGCATGTCCAGGCCAGCCAAAGGCCTTACACACCCACAGGAAGGAGCTGCATGGACCCCCAGCTCCCCAAATTGGCCGGCCCCAAACCCACAGTGAGATGCACTCGGGGCCAGATGCTCCTGCCGGCCAGAGCACAAGGCACAGTGAGGTAGGTAGAGCAACAGCTTGCCAGGCCTACCCTGGGGTTAGGTGTGGGGCACCTCAGTGCCTCCCCTCAGTTTCTGGCCCTTTGGGAGTTAGGCCACTGGGTCCTGACACTGTGGACGGCCCTGACACCCATGGGTGGCCCCTACAATGTGTGTGTGGGGCTGCTGGGAAGCCTGAGCTCAAACAGTTAAATATTCTTTATTTGGGAGGGCTAGGCATGGGGAAGGTAGGGTAAGCCTGGCCTAAGCCCCCATAGGGGGTGGCTTGGATGAATCTGCACCCAGGGACATCCCCGGACAGGTGGTGCCAGCTCCTTGGAAGCACCAGATGTGATGCAGGAGTAGAGCCCCGGGGTGTGGTCTCTTCTTTGTATGGTCCTCCTACCGGCCTGGCCGGGCCTCGCTCACCCTCTGGAGGCAGAACTGCGCAGCAGGCAGTGATAGGACCAGGTTCATGGTTCGACGGCCCATCCAGTAAAGACTGTAGCCCAGCAGGCCAAAGAAGGCAGCTTTCACAGCCACCCGGGACACTCTGCCAGAGATGGACGGAGGGGGAACTCTGTGGGAGGGAGAGGTGTGGTAGGCCTGGCTGGAACATGTGTGGGTCACCACCACATGCAGCTGCAGAGACTGCTGGGTGAGGTGGGGAGGGCACTCACGTCATGATCTCCTGGATGTTGAGGTCGGTACTCCAGTTCTTCTCAATGCCAGGCACATGACCCATGCCAACGACACCCACAACCACAGATGGGACACACTTCCTGGGCTCAGCTGTCGAGGGAGGGCAAAAGTCAGTGGGAGGCACAGAGCAATTATCTTGGGGAGTTCCCACCCGGGCCTGTCCATCACCATCAGAGGCGCGGGGAAGCTCAAGGCGCCGAGCAGCCTGCCGCAGCATATAAGTCAAATAGATATCACGCTCTGAGACAATGGTTCGGTGCAAGTCAGGAAACTCCCCAATCATCTCTGCCATCATCTGCTCCAACAGGTCCTTCTGCTTGCAGCGCTCTACATCGTCTTTGCTGAGGGTAGAGGGCACGAGCTCAGGGGGTGAACAAGGATGGAGGCATGGGACGTCTTGTGTTGCTGACTCAGGGCAGGGACCATAGCAGGTGTGGACTGTGCCAGGAACAGGCCAGGGAGGCTGTCCTACCTGATTGGATCAGACAGGAAGCACAGGCCCCAGGCCAGTTTGACCTTCTGCCAGAAGGAGAGTGCAGCAATGGCCCTCTTAAAGGTGACTGGGATGGGCCGGTCACCCAGGTGGAATTTGCAGAATGGTACCTTGCTGGCCTGAGGTAGATGTTGGATGTTAGGACTTTTAACGCCATGGGTAGCTGCCACCAGCCCCCACCGAGGCATCCACAAATCTAAGCCTAGCACTCACCTCCTTGAAGGCTTCCCTGAACTCGCCACCAGGGGCCATGCCTAACTGCTCAGTGATGTGGGCCGACACCTTCAGCAGCAGCATCTGCATGAGTCCAGACATGAGCCCATTCTGTAGGAAGAGGAACCGTGTCAGCTATAGTGCACACAGTGAGCAAGGCAAAGCAGTATGAGGACAGCAGCGTGCCCTGGAGCTAGGCCCTTTCCAGTAGCCACGGACAGGCCATCCTGGCTCATGAGGAGGCTCAGACAACAGTAGGTCATCTTGGCTTCAAGAATCAATCAAGGGGGCTGGAGAGATGGCTTAGTGGTTAAGAGCATTGCCTGCTCTTCCAAAGGTCCTGAGTTCAATTCCCAGCAACCATATGGTGGCTCACAACCATCTGTAGTGAGATCTGGTGCCCTCTCTGGCCTGCAGGCACACATGTAGGCAGATATTGTATGCATAATAAATGAATAAATATTTAAAAAAAAAGAATCAATCAAATGTGTTTTCCCTGAAAAAAAAAAATTTTTTTATATGATGGTCGAAGATATTAAGACTACCTGACCAGGTGTCTGAGGCACAAGTTGGTCCTGAGCAAACAGGCTGGAGTTCAGCACTTACAGGGAGCCTCAGTACTTGCCACCTCCATCTGTGGAGGGCAACATGAATGCCTAGCATTCAGTGACACTGGCTGCCTCTGGTCTGGCCAGGTTGGCTGGGCCCTGAGGTGGGTCAGTATGCTGAGATTCCCCACTGCATGGCTAAGACAGGTGGCCTTTCTTTAGGAAAGGTCACCCTGTGAGCTACTGCATAGACTGTCTACTTTGTACCTTTCTTGATTCAGGAGAGTGCACTGTGAGACCTGGTGATAATTTATCCTACAGGAGTGTCCTTATTTATCTGACCTGGGGGACAGACCACAAAGTCTAAGTTATGAGATTTAGGTGAAAGGGTCTTTTTTTTTTCTTTTTTAAGTTTTTCATGACAGGGTTTCTCAATAGCTATGGATCCAGAACTGGAACTCACTCTGTAGACCAGGTTTGCCTCAAACTCATCCCCTCTGCCTCCCAAGTGCTGGGGTTAAAAGCGTGTGCCACCACCACCTGGCTTGTCTGTTTTTTAGAATGTAGCCCTGGCCTGGAACTTGCTTTGAAGACAGGTTAGCCTTGAACTCATAGACTCACAGAAATCCACCATGCTTATCCTGGCATCATGGGTCAGGCAGTACCAACTGACTATTGGA